ATGGGAACAACACCAGTCCACACACACACACACACACACACACACACACACACACACACACACACACACTGTATTCAGAGGCAAAAAATCAGGTGGTTTGGTCATCTGGTACGTATGGCACCTCACCAGCTTGCCAGTAAAGAGTACTACAAAAGAATATTAGGGTACAAGACAAGAGGAAGACCAAGGAAGACCTGGATCGAGGGTGTGAAGGATACCCCGAAGACACACAATATCCCACCCAGCCAGGCCATCAAACTTGCCAGAGACAGGAAGCTCTTTCTCCCCTCGACGCCCTAGAGGTACAAAAGGACGGAGAAAGTAATACGTCAGTTGAGCTTGTGTATGACATAATAACGACAGTTATATTATGTACGCAAACATGTGTGTGCCGATCTTAGTCAAACAAAAACATGAGAGGGAGCTCTCGCGGCCTAGAGGTTAAAGTGTTGGCCTCTCATTCGAAAGTACCGGGTTCGAATCCAGGTAGCGACCCAAAAAAAATTATTCTCTAAAATTGTCTCTTTTCATCTCCTTTCCTGCTCTCTAGCAATGTTCTGTCGTCTGCTGTCCTCTCCACTTTCTGCCCCCCCCCTTCACCTCCTTTGCCCCCTCCTCTGGGCTCCTGACTCTTTCTGCAGCCTTTCTACTGTTACTCCTTGGCTCCTTCTTACTGCTGTCTTTCAGCCACACCCCTCATCTTCTGGTAGGAAAGATCTACGCCTAGCCTTCTCGGACAAGGGCGAAAAATCTCGGAGGGCCCGTGTGCAAGTTGCGCACGTTAAAGGTCCCTGGGTGGTCCTAAATCGATTATAAGAGTAGGCTTCGGCCGCCACTCGGGAAAAATTCAAAATGTCATACCAACTGAACAAAGTTAAAAGTGTCCCTCGCGCTCATATGACCTTATGCAGTTGCGAGCGCTGTAAAACACTCACACACAAAAAAACATGAGAACTGGGCCAGCTTGAAGTACAGGCAAAACGTCAGCTCAGTTGGTGCCATACTGTACTACAGACTACAGAGTGGATGCCACTGGATCCTGGGATAAATTCTTGAACTTCGGTAGTTTTGAACTGTTTTGTGGAGTTTTCATGGCTCGACGGTCCTATCGGAGACAGACGTTATATTCTTAAAACATAATAGTGTTGATTGAGCCGTTAAACCCACACACGTATCGTACTTTTTTATTTGAAGTGCGCACTGTGCGTCTGCTGGTTGTCTCTTCTAGCTTTCGGTGGGCGGTGGTGCCGGGAATGTCGTGATGGTAAAAGTTTGTTCAGTTTTTAGAGCAAAACAGTATTAAGCTCCCAAAAGAAAAAAAAAGAAAAACAATTAAACACGTAGGCCTACAAACATGTATCGTCGTTGTTTTATCTTGCACAAACGACTTGAATTAACTGATACTTGATACGTACATGTATAGTACAATGTTTAATTTGTTCCAGCAGCGAAAAGTAATGAGTGCAAACACACGAGTGTAAGGGAAAGTCTCACTGCCGGTATAGGAGTAGACAGAGTTGCAACAGACACAAGAACAGGACCGTCATAGAAAAGATACTTTAGATTTTAGATACATCACGTCAACTCGTGACACAAAACAACTTTTGCTCCGCCCATAGCGAAAATTTCGTCCCCGTTTTGGACCAAGGGAAGCGACTGTTGAATTTGTAGCGATCTCAATTAGTTAACCTGATCATTTCCCTTTACACAGAAACTTTTTTTAAAAACTGTACTGTTCTGCTTCTACAAGTTCTAGCACACATTGTTTACTACTGCCATTAGTTTCAAAGAAGGAAACAGGCGCTGTAGTGGGGTCTGTGTATCAGCGACTTCTTGATTCTTTTCAATTGTTATTATTTTATATATATTATTAATCATCTGGGTGGAGCGCATCCGCATAGCTCATTGCATTGTTTGTGTCTGGGAATAGGGCTTACGTTTACTTACATGTATTTAGGGAGTGGTGGTCGGGGAAGAGGGGGATGCGGGGATACAACAGATGAGCCATAAAAAAAGCAGACTTCCCTCTTGACGGCCTCATTTGTAATGTCCAGTTACCATGCAGGCCGAGTCGTTAAATAGATGAGTATTCTTTCTTTTTTTTTTT